TGTTACCTTCCCACTAAAGATGGTCCCTATTTTTCTACTTGCATTTTTTTACATGCTTTCAAACTGCTAGGTTTGCAGAAGCTGGGACAAGTAATGGGAGCTCAACCAGCACTCAGGATTCAAACCACTGAACTGCTGACCTTTCGATCGACAAGCTCAGCGTCTTAGCCACTGAGCCACTGCATCCCCCCCTTTTTTCTCATTAAGAGCATATCTTTTCAGTATAATTGGATTATTCAGTAAATAGATACAGATTTCTTGCAAAAGGTTTTTCTAAAATTATATTGTACTATCTGGATATCTTTCAGTGAATTACATCAGCCTATAATGAAATATTCAGTCTTGGGTTCCAGCAAAAAAAAAATTACTTAACTGCCTATTTATTAATTTACTTATTCATTTATAGGACTGTGGGGTCCCTTTTATCAATTACAACTTATCATTTTAATGAGTCCAGCACATCAATATAATAATCAATCCAGAGATTATTCTATGGATGTTTGCATGGAACAAGTGATGAACAAATTGTTTATGTTGATCTAGTTAGAGATGATCAATTATGATCATTGATCAGTCATAATTAAATGTGTAGTAGATATTCATAGCTATTCATAATGAAAATCAAAATGAAAACCCTTATCTGGCTGTATTGACAGATCAGTATAACAAGTTCAAAGAACAGGACCATATTTTGAAGTATGGAAAAAATAACAGAAATCTAGTTTCCATAGGGATCACACAGTTAAATGAAGTTTCAAAAAGACATACAATCAGTACATTACTTGGCACAAAATTCAATTTTCTATCCAGTTCTGGTCACCACAATACAAAAAAGACGTTGAAACTTTAGAAAGAGTTCAGAGAAGAGTAAAGGGAATGATTAGAGCTCTGGAGGCTAAAGCATACAAAAAATGGTTACAGGAGTTGGGTAGTCTAATGAAAAGAAGAACTAAGGGAGACATGATAGCAATGTTCCAATATTTGAGAGACTCCTAAAAAGATGAGGGAGTCAAACTATTTTCAAAAGCACCAAAAGTCAAGAAACAATGGATGAAAACTAATCAAGGAGAGAAGCTACCTAGAACTAAGGATAAAATTCCAAATGGTTACAGCAATCAATCAATGGACTAGCTTGGCTTCAGCAATTGTGGATGCTCCGTCACTGGAGACTTTCAAAAACAGACTTTCAAAAACAGTTGTCCAATGGACAACCATTTGGACAACTAGGAGGTTGGACTAGGACAGTGATGGCTAACATTTTTGCTGTCGCGTGCCAAAAGCAGGGGGAGTGCAAGGGGGGGTCATGCCCACACCCATAATTCAATGCCCCCCTGGGCTCCGCCCCACCCTGCATGCATGCGCATGATCTTCCTGCGCTTCCCCCGTTTTTGGCATGCAACGGCAAAAAGGTTACTGGTGGGTCCGTTTTTTGCCCTCCCCAGGCTCCAGAGGCTTTCTTGGAGGCTGGAAACGGCCCATTTTCTGACTTCCGGTGGGCCCTGAAGGCCTGAAAATCAGCTGGCTGGTGCACAAATGCGCACTGGAGCTGAGCTAGGGCAATGCTTGCGTGCCCACAGATATGGCTCAGTGTGAACCTGTGGCACGTGTGCCATATGTTCGCCATCACAGGACTAGGACCTCCAAGATCCCTTCTAATTATATTAGTCTATGTTCTATGAAACATTTCAAACAAAAAGAAAAGAAAAGAAGTCCAGTTGCCATGAATCAACTTCCAGACAACTCTATCTGGATGAATGAGAATCTTCATTGACACAGAAATGGTGATTGTGGAGCTCTACATACTTCCTACTTTCCCCTTCTTAGACCAGTGCCTGGACGCTGCTATTGATATCCTACACAGCATGCTGCTTGGGGGATCTTGGAAGCCACACAGATATTGGTGTTCCATTTTTAGAATGCTTTTTATTTTCCTTTGTCCATTTACCCCTGAAGAAATGGAGCTTTCCTTTTTTATTTTTTCCATACAGCATGAGTGACAGAATTGAAGAAGGAAAGCAAAAAAAAAAAGGCATCAATTGAAAGAAAAAGGATCTGACATTTAGTAGTTTTGATATCTGTGAACTTTCTTCCTACCAATAGTGGAAGAATAATGGAAGCACTTGATAAGACAAAGAAAAGATCTGGACTGGTTTCTGAGGAGAATGTGGCATACTCTGCAGGGCCTCAAAAATGTATCTTTAGGATCTAAGGACACAATTCTGATTTTATGCCAGTGACTCATTGTAAAAGGATTAAACAGAGTTATGAATTTCTTTGCTGGTTCATTTCAGAAACAAACAAACAAACAAACAAAAAAAGGTTTGAAATAATAGAAAATAATTGTAGCTCAGGTTTTTTTTTTAAGGTTATTTTCCTGAGGAATTTTTTAAAAAACAACAATTCTGCCTATATAATTGCTATACTAAGTGGAATTTTGGGAGAAATTCTATGCCTTGTTCAGATGCATTAGGCACAATTTCATTCGGCTGATCTCCATCAAGTGACAGGGCTAATTGTACCTCTTGAATGTCTACCTGGACATTTTTTTTCTCCCAAGGTTAACCTGAAAGACCAATTCAAGGTGGGTGCAGGGACTTTGATTAATAACTCCCCAATAGCATATGAGATTGAACAAAGCTTCAGCTAATATGTTCTGCGTATAAGATCTTGTTCTTATCTATTAATTTCGTGGACTTTTTGAAGCCTAAATGGAAATTGGAATGATAATCCCACCTTAAATTGAAGGGATTTTTAAAAATATATTATCGAATAATCTTGAATTCTCCAATGTAATGACAGGGTTCGGAAGGTATGGGGAAAAGCAATTCACAGCCTTATTGCTCTACTGAAGAAGAATGATCTGAATTCTGCAGGTTTAATGGAGTTGTATGTATTTCTAGCAACTAGTTGGTCTTAGCATGAGCAGAAAAGCTTCGAAAAAGCTACATTCAAAGTATAAGACACACCCAAATTTTCAGCCTCTTTTAGGAGGGGAAAAAATGCATTTTATATTCCGAAAAATACGGTATATACTTTGCTAAAATCACAATGACTTAAAAGAATTTTCCATGGAATGCTACAAAGGAGACTATAATTTTGGGGCAGATGGAATGTATCTAAATTCTTTCTAATAGAACCGTAGCAGCCCAGCTGAGCTTGTAGACTGGAATGAATCTGCTACTGATATAGGAGATTCTGTTATACAAAGTTAAAAAAAAAGACATTCAACATAAAATAGGCAAGTTTGTAATAGAGACAATAAATAAAATACCGAAGATAAAGAATAGCTATAGAACAATGCTAAAAACATGTACTTATGTCTATCCTAAAATGAATTCCTTGAATTAGAAGTTTCTTTTTGATTCAATTTTTCTACATTAAAAAAAAAAACTTTCCCCCAAAAAACGATTAGTGAGTTACAAAAAGTACAATGCAAAATACATAGGGATTATATAATGTTAAAAATCCTATCTGCAATGTAGTAATTAAAATAAACTAGCCATTAAAAGAGAAAAAAATAATACATAATATTATGTTTATATGTAACATAACACAAACAATTCATGTCATATCAATTTGTTAAGGATAAGTGATAAATTCAATCCTTAAACTTATAATTAAAAGTAGACTATTCAGAAACATAATGCTACATTTGTTTTCATTTTTGGAATATAAAGATTTTTCAGAAAGGATTTAAAAACATCTTAAATTTACTCTTTAATATCAGGAAGTTATATTTCTTTTCATTTATTAGGATTATCCTTTGCTGAGCCACAGATTTGATAAATCAATTTTTTAAAAAAGAGCAAATTTCACATTTTGGGAATATTGCAATGATGTTGTCCATTATTACAGTTCTTTCCAAATTTCCTTAAATGTATGCTATAACTTGAATCCAAAATGGAGTTAAGGCGGGACAGGACTAAATCACAGGAATTTTAAAAAACTCTTAAGATCAAAAAGCTCATGTACAGCCTTTTGAAAACATTAAACACAGATAAGCATTATCCATTTTTAAATCCCAAGAAACATATATTTCTTAAGACTTGGATCCACTGAGTTTCCAAAACTGGATAATTTCCAAGTTTAAATCTGGGACTGAAGGAAGATCACCTTAGCTTACCACCTTTCTCCACTTCAGCACGCACATATTGTCTGTTCTACCTGAGTTGTTTTGTCGTTCATAAAAGACAAATACTTTTTTATCTGGACAAAAAAAGAGCTGCATATAATCTTTTCCTGTCCTCGTGAAAAGCATGACGTATCTTGGAATATTAAATGCAGGAGATATTTGGTATTGGCCCAGTGGTGAAATCCAAATTTTTTTACTACCGGTTCTGGGGGCATGGTTTGGTGGGCGTGATGTGGCTTGGTGGGCGTGGCTTGGTGTGTGTGGCAGGGGAAGGGTGCTGCAAAATCCCCATTCCCTCCCCACTCCTGAGGGAAGGATACTCCAAAATCTCAATTCCCACCCTACTCTGGGGCCATCTAGAGGTGGTATTTGCTGTTTCTCTGAACTACTCAAAATTTCCACTACTGGTTCTCTGAACTACTCAAAATTTCCACTACCGGGTCTCTGAACTGCTCAATATTTCCGCTACCGGTTCTCCAGAACCTGCTGGATTTTGCCCCTGGTATTTACCTTGTGTGTTAAAAACAATCTTACAACCGCTCTTCCAATGAATGAATGAACAAATACTTTTATGTCTGAATTTGGAAACCTCTTTATTCTGAATTCTGAAACACAAGACTTGAGCCTCAAAATTTATACTTACATTCTTGGGAGTTAGCCCCATGAGTTCAAGGGGACTTTCTTTTAAAAGAACCATGTGCAGAATAATACTGCAGCTGCGTTTAAATCATCAATCATACTGTCAGTACAGGTTCATCAATAAATACTTTCAAACACCCCTGAAAACAGTGAATTATTCATTCATGATTGGTTCGCATGAAAGAAATGCTTACATCACTGCGAGATGAGACATCTTAATTGCCTTTACCTTAGTGATGGATTCGTGCAGGTGGAAGGAAGAATCCAGGTTTGTGGATATTATCGAAGACGCAGGGAAAACAGCTTCAGAAAGAAAGCTTGCTGCCTGTGTAAGAGGGAGAGGGAGACAAACCTTTAAGACTTCATATTGATTTCCTTCCTTAGAAGCTTTATTGGCTTTTGTCTTACGGTTTAAAGGATTTCAAATTCTTTTAAAGATTGTGTTGATGATTAGACTTCATTTCAGTGATCCAGTTTTCTCATTTCAACACACTGTTTCAGAAACAATGAACTATATTTTTCTTTTTAGAACAAATAAACAAACAAGATACGGTTGCAACGGCATCCATTTTTGTGTCTGCATGTCACTCGTGGAACGCATTTATTGCATTCTTCCAGGGGTGAAATGCTCCCGGTTTGAACCGGATCACCCGATGCGGTAGCGATGGTGGTGAGTGGTTTGGAGAACCGGTAGCAAAAATCCCTGCTCCCCCCACCCCAGCTCAGCCGCACAATCATCAGAGGCTTTTTTTTTAACTTTTAAAAGCATTTTTTCTACAACCTCTTCCGACGAAAAAAATGCTTTTAAAACAAAAACAAAAAAAAAAGCCTCAGATGATCGTGCAGCTCAGGTGGGATCGTCAGAGGCTTTTCAAAGCATTTTTTTCTGCAACCTCTTGGCCGAAAAGGTGGTAAAAAAAATGCTTTGAAAAGTCTCTGATGATCCCAGCTGAGTTGCCTGATCGGCAGAGGCTTTTCAAAGCATTAAAAAAAAAAGAGTTGGCCATGCCCACCCAGTCATATAACCCCCCCGCCCCCCAAGCCATGCCCACAGAACTGGTAGTAACAAATTTTGCATTTCACCTCTGCATTCTTCCATCTCAAGGAGAAAGCAATCTGTACTAATACTCCTAAATTCTGAAAAGCCGAGATTACATACGTTCAAACAGAGCCACAAAAGTCGGAAGGGTATTTGTGGTCCAGTTTGTAATCTAGTAGGTTTTTTTAATTATAAACAGGTCAATATTTAGCACTGAGGTTTTGAACTAAGCATTGTACCGTGTTTCCCTGAAAATAAGACCCTGCCTTATATTTTTTTGAACCCCGAAATAAGTGCTTGGCCTTATTTTCAGGGAGGTCTTATTATTTGGGGGCATGTAGAAGAAACCAGAGGAAATGGTGGGGACTGGCTGCGTATGCATTTAAATATTTTCAAGGAAGCCTTATTTTCAGAGGGGGCTTATTTTAGTGCATGCACTCAAAAGCCCGATTGGGCTTATTATTATCAGGGGATGTCTTATTTTAGGGAAACGGTAATTATTGGCTATTTATTTATATACTTATGTACAATATTTGTAGACTACACCAATCAAGACAGACCCTTGAGTGAAAAAGAAAGTTTTTTTTTTTTAAAAAAAGATTGTTCTAGTGAAAAAAATTAAACTAACAATAGAATAAAAGCTACAATTAGTCATGCAACAATACAGGGATTTCCCACAATTAATCATGCATGGATAGGATAAGGTGGTCTTTGCAAAGTATGAGAGGAAAGGGTGAAACATATTTCTGGCAGGTAATGTATTCCCGGGAGACAGGATACTACAGATCCTCAGTTCATCTTAAGTGAACACATTATGCATTAATTAGCGTTCCTCAGGTTGCACAGTGTGCCTTCTCTGTAGCAACTCTGTGCTCAAAGAAAGTCCTCCTCCTCCTCCTCCTCCTCCTCCTCCTCCTCCTCCTCCTCCTCCTCATTTTTGCTTCTTCTGCTTCTTCTGCTACTTCTTCTCCTCTTCTTCCTCCTCCCTCCTCCCTTCTTCAATATATTTTTTTTATTCATGTAAGCACACTGAAACATACATACCCAAAAGGATAAACATAATGGGGGAAACCGGACATTTTGATTGCAACTGGTAGTTGCACACAGCTACAGAAGATGATTGCAGTGGTGTCCCCACTGAGGGCCAAAAGGTATGCAAAAGGAGTTTAGCATGGATCAAATTAATATTCGATTCAGCCAGAAAGAAGAACATCAGAACCAATATATATTTCTTGGTTTTAAGCAGACATAAATGCATGCTGAATAAAGCTAATTCAGCCCAATAAATTATTATCTATTTACACAGCTAACCTAATACATATATTAATGCATATAAAGATCTTGGAACAGCTAGCTTAAATTACTGAGGTTTCATAGTTTTCTCTCATTAAAATTTTACATTTGCACTCATCTCCTTAATTTTCTTACAAGTAAACTTTAAGATTAAGACCTTCTCCAGACATACATACTTATATACATGCACCAAAGACAAATTCCTTGTGTGCCCAATCACACTTGGCCAATAAAGAATTCTACACACAAACACACACACATAATTTGTCAAGCATGTTTGTTAATATGATCCTGTTGAAATGTTTAACATTAAGAATTTGATTAAATTTCCTTTTGATGGGTTACATTTTCTGTCCTTCAAAACGACGCTAAGGAGCACTGCACACCAGAATAACTAGACACAAGAACAGCTTTTTCCCAAACGTCATCACTCTGCTAAATAAATAATTCCCTCAACACTGTCAAACTATTTACTAAGTTGCACTACTATTAATCTTCTCATCATTCCCACCATCCATCTCCTTCCGCTTATGACTGTATGACTGTAACTTTGAGGCTTGTATCCTTACGATTTATATTGACATTGTTCCTGATTGCTTATTTGTACCCTATGACTATCATTAAGTGTGGTACCTTATGATTCTTGATTAACATATCTTTTCTTTTATGTACACTGAGAGCGTATGCACCAAGACACCCTTGTGTGTCCAATCACACTTGGCCAATAAAAAATTCTATTCTATTTTCCACATTAGGGATAGCTGCATGCATGTTTTATTACATGTGTGAAACTTCACTTCTTTTCAAACTAAAAAATAGAGATTAAACTTCTAACTTCTTCACCATGAAACAATGTTCTGGGGGCCACCTTCTAAAGCTTTGTTAGCTTGGCAATATCTTTAAAAGAAAAAAAGAAAAAACAGTGACTGGATCTGAACCAACATTCTGGATTTATACTGATGGGGGCGTATAACGTTATAATATTAGCAATTTTATCTCGGAGTGATTTTCTAATGAAAATCGGTGTAGAATCTGACCTTTTATTGCAGCTATGTAGCAGATCAATGCTTTTTTTATTGCTGTAATGCTCAAAGCCCACACTCTCTTGGTGTATGTAGGTGTTTATGTGTGTGTATAAATATTCAATAAAATTATCCACTTTAATGTCCATATATACTATGTGAAACCAGTACATTTTCATAACTTATTGCAATCAGAAGGATTAAGAGTAGCAGAATAGTGGAACTGGATTATTGTATTACAGATTAACGGAGTTGGAAGGGACCTTGTAGATCATCTAGTCCAGCCCCTTGCCCAAGCAGGAGACCCTACACCATTTCTGACAAATGGCAGTCCAATATATTCTTGAAAGCCTCCAGTGATGAAGCTCCCACAACTTCTGCAGGCAACTTCTGTTCCATTGGTTGATTGTTCTCACTGTCAGAAAATTTCTCCTTATTTCTAGGTTGAATCTCTTCTTGATCAGTTTCCATCCATTATTCCTTGTCTGGCCTTCAGGTGCCTTGGAAAATAGGTTGACCCCATCCTCTCTCTGGCAACCCCTCAAATATTGGAACACTGCTATCATGTCTCCTCTGGTCCTTCTCTTCACTAGACTAGCCATGTCCAGTTCCTGTAACCGCTCTTCATATGTTTTAGTCTCCAGTTCCCTAATCATCCTGGTTGCTCTTCTCTGCACTATTTCTAGAGTGTTACTTTATTTCTTTATTTAAAACATTTGCATAGCCACCCATCTTCCAACCTACTCTGGGCGGCTCCCAATCAAAAGTTAAAACATCACATAAAATCACATTCAAACTATCAAAGTAAACAGATTAAACCATTAAAAACAACAGCAAACTGGTGCCAAGTCAAACTTCTAATGCGCAGTTATCCAATCTACTCCCAGTGCTTAGGGGAATATATTTTGCTGGACGGGCTGCTTATTGTTCTTCCCAAAGTAAGAACATTGTCCCTATGTAATAAGCACCTGTATTTGAGGAACACATTTCTAAAAATCTCCTGACAAAAGTCAGCTGTCAGATGCTAAACTCCTTATATTCACATTTACTTGAGACCTGAATTTAGGGGATGATTAATGTCAAAATGATGATTAATTCATTCTTTACTTGCCAGAAAGCTCTTTACTTTGCTGTGAAGTGTAGAAATGAAAGCTTTGGGGTTTAAAAGTAATATTAATGCTGCTTGAAAATTTAACAGGATTGATTTGTCATGCCTGGCATCTCATAATGTGCCTGCTTGCTTCTGAGAACTTGGACTCTACCCTGGGGCTTTCATTGCTTTATGTTTTGCTAGCTGAAAGAGACAGAAAAGTTTTTTTTAAAAAAACCCTTCTTCTTGAGGCATCTTATCTCTTCTTTATAAAGAGCCTAGCTTGACTAAACATGTTTAGACAATTGTGACATTTCAAGAGAAATATACTTTTGGCACAGATCTGTGCAGGCTTTCAGACTCACCAAGCGTTGTGCATAATGGAAGCTACTACCCACCAAATTTGGTGGTTTAGCATTAGTTAAACCCATGTTCTCAAAACGGAGTCAATTTCTAAGCCCTTTCTTGATGTTTCCCTCCATTACTTTGGTATTTTCTATTATCCACACCACTGGGCATTCTGAAAAAGGTTACTTATCTGATAGGATCAATCATTCAAAATTCCAGGGTATCATTTTGACTAAGACCGAATGACAAGGCTTTAAAGATCTGTGTATAAATGGGGAGAAATTTCTTTTGCCTCACTTCTTAGAGTGATAGAGTGATAAGTTGGAATATCAAAAGGATTACTTACATTGAGGTTCATATATAACATGTTATTAATAGATGCATTTGTGAAACATGCTAAACTGGTTTTATATTAACCTTGGTTAGATTTCTATGTGATCTATGGTAGTGATTTTCAACCTGTGGTCCGTGGAACCCTGGGGAGCCATGGTTTCATCACGGGGTCCATGAAGGTTTGAAGAAATGTTATGATT